TTTAGGAATTCCCATAAGTGGCATGTGGCGTGTGTGCGTGCATCTGTAGGCATGCCAGCAGCTACTGAGTGGCTGTCAGCACTTTCTGTTGTACAAACAGTGACTTGTTTGGGGTCCTTCCCACGAACACACTTTATTCCCTCTGGTGCAGAGTCCCTGTTTTACTATATAATTGTAGCTGACAGCTTGGATGGGTAGTATCCAGCAAACATTCAGCAGCATCATTTGCAGTGTGACTGACGTGAATGCCGCACAGGGAGGCTCTTGCTCTGTGAAGGTTTTGCTTTGCAGCAGCATGATAAACAATTGGTGTTACTGGAAGTGTCCTAACATCCTGCATCTCAAACTGAGAGTCATTTCCCGCTTTTACAGTGAATTTACTGATCCTGAAGCATAGGAAGAGCAAGGTGAGAGTGAACAAATTTGTGATTCCAACACTAGATTTTTCTGCTGTTTGTTTCAGCCTGTGTTTTATTATTGCTAAATAATATTAAAATCTGTAGTCCTTACCAAGGTAAGGGTGCTACAGCTGAGCCACCAATTAATACAGACAGCAGCAGGAGCCTGCATTCCACCAACATGTTGCTTTACTTTGCATCTGAATTATCCACTTGCATGTGCATAGGACATACACAGCAGAAACTGCCATAAGCCTGACAGTTAATCTAGGACTAAAGGGAATTACAGTGAGTGGGAAATAAGGGTCAGGACCTTCTCAGGGCAATGGTGAACACTCACTTAGTATTGCAAGTTTGGGTTTGCATGCCAGACTTCAAAATTGGAGAGTTTTGTTCTGCAGAGGAGCAAAAATTAGAAGTTTGGAAAGTATGCTTGATGAAGGGAAGCTCTGTCTTTTCCCACTGATGTGTGCTGGACCAGATTGTATCTATTGAGTAGCTTCTAGCATTCTTTCTTCAGCATAGGTCCACTGACATCAGGGTAGGCATGTCTGTGCTCCATCTGAGGGTCAGGCCCTCTTCTGCCTTTGTCATTTTTCATATTGTTGGCAAATTGCCCTTAGAATATGCATCTTTCCTCTACAGGCTTACATGCAACTGAAATTGCTGGACTGGACCAGAAGTATTTGGGCTCCTGCCAGCACCACAGGGTTATATAGCTCTAGGATCTGATGCCCCTAAAATTTTACCTATAATTTTCTTGGCTTGCTGTTGCTTTAATGCTCTTTGCCACTCCAAATTCCAGCAGATGCACCTATATAGAATAGCAATGATACTGGAGGAGGTAGAAATACTGTTAAAACTTTGGTGATGTATCTAGACTATGGGCTCTAAATTAGGGGTTAATAAAAAGTGTTATTCAGTATTCCAGGAAATTGTCAAGATCACTAAGTATTGTACTGA